TATTCACTGTGTACCTTGTTTTAGATTTGCCAGACACCTTTATCCAAAGAATACAGAAATAAAGCATATATTGAGCAATTTAGGGCTCAGTGTTTTGCCACTGACACTTTGATATGTGGGCAAGATAAAACAAAGGAGATAGGAATATACAGAGCTGTAGTTAAATGACAAAATGCAATAATAAACAAAATAAAATAAATCTGAAAATAGCGACTGAACTAAAAAAGTATGATGTTTTAAATATACAAATATAGAGCTCAGTAATGTATGACACATTGAAATGCATGTTTTAGTTTCATGTTAAACTACTTATAATACATCCTTTGCATACATGTATGCTATACCCTGAGGAATACTGGATTCATTATTTTAATTTTTCTAAATATAAACACATTAACAGATTGCTTAGATTGTACATACATACTGAGTGGGAGATTTTACAGTACAGTTCAGTTTGTGAGTGCTCATAGGTAGGGGTGTAAGAAAATAGTGAAAAATATTGCATCTTAATATATCGCAGTGTATTGAATTGTAACCCCTGTCGTTATATGTGTTGTATTGCTAGATTCTTGTCAATACACAGTCCTACTCAAACAATGTAATGGTGACGCTGTTTCAAAATAGATACATTAACCTGGACAATTTGTCGGTTTAGCTCTAATGTTTGCATATTTGTGATACATTTATTTATATGCAGAAGTGTTTTTGAAATGTTTCGAAATGCTAAAGTTAATTTTTTTGTTGAACTATCACCTGTCCATTTTTATTTCTCTTTTTTTTCGACCTCTGTATCGTATAACGTGCAAACAAAAACACTGACAGACACGTATAGACATCAGATTGATTGCATCCCCAGAGCGCAGCCAGGCTTAGGGTTGTTACTTTTTCCAGGGGTTGAATGTAGTTCAACTTGCCTACTTCACACATGAACTGTCCGCTTCTTGACTGGCTCCTCCTAGAAACTTGAGGCGTTGACAAGAGTACTTGAGACTATCACGTTCACCCCTTCAACAAATATCAATTCAAATCTACTCTTACACTTCTTTTTTATGCGGTTGTTGTCTGTGCTGCTGTCATGCAATCTCTCCCTCTTACATTTCTCCCTTTTGTTTTCTCCTGCAACTCAACGTGTCTCTCACTTGCTTTAGGAATTTTCCTCCCTTTGAATTTTGATTCCTCCCCAGTGTCTGCACTCTCCTCTCGCCTTTTCTAAAACTCTCTTTTCCCTTTTTCTCTCTCTATCTCTGCCTCCTTGTGTGCATCTCACTGATGCTCTGTCTCTCCTTCTCCCTTGATGTTTCTTTCTGTTTTTTGATTCGTCTCACACAATCTAGCACTGGTTTTTGATCTCACTATACCTCTCTCTCCCTCAGTCTTTCCCTCTCTCTCTCTCACACACACACTCTTTCCTCCTGGGTTGCCTGCAGATCAGAGTTGCCATGTCTCTCAGTAAGCTGCAGAGTTACCAAGCTCCTTGATTCATCCCAGCTATCTGGGTGACCCATTTCTGCACAAACTCACACATTTTAATGCTGTGAAATGAAGTAAGTAGTTGATAAACACCACTTTCTGACAAATTTTAATCCAATTAGATGGATCGTGCCCTTTGACCCTTATGACATAATATGGCAACTGCCCAATCTCTTAATGCGGCCAACGAGAGATTGCAGAGACAGATGTTTTCATCGATTGCACTCCCAATTGTTTTCTTTTTGTTTCTTCAGTGAGTTGATCCACAATTGATTGCTTAATATCTACGTTGAGGAGACAATAAAGACCTTTTCCTTAAATATAGAAGAGGACAGCCCTAATATTACTTTGAACAGACCTCGTACTCTACCGGACCTTCTCCAGGGATGATCACTGAAACCAGACCCCTCTTGTGGTCCGTAAAAGACGTCAGGAGCACATGGCAGGATCTCTAAAAACATGTTATATATATTTAAACATTTATCTGCGATATTACAAACAAAATCATGTCCACTTTATGTGAGAATAATGATTTACTTGCAATAAAGAAGTAACTTAGCTGCATGCGCTAATATGAAGGCCTGCAGTGCTAGCAACACACTGACTTATATATAGGCCTTAATTACAGAAATTATATATTATTTTAATAGTGCACTTTTTAAAATGTTCTCTTAGGGGAAATCATATTATCTTTATGTAAAATCCAAATTGTGAATAATATAAATGCTCTGGACAATATGTGGACAAAATCTTGCATCATTAGAAACACTATTATATTTTGATATGAAGGCCAGATCCATCAATGTTTCCTCAACATTTACAGTTTTAAATGTGCACTGATATTCTAATGACACTGTTTAACAATAAATTCAAATCTTTATGTGACAATAATGGATGAAGGACGAAGATAAAAGAACAATATAGCACAGCAAATTAACCTTATTTAAAAAACAGTAAATCAGTATATTTTATCAGACCTCGCTATATTCATGAATGAGTTTAAAATGAATTCCCTGAAGATGTCCGAACAGTCACAACAACTTATAGCCCAAGCATGATTCAAAACCTGCCTAAGATTGGGAAATGTTTGTTATTAAGGGCAAAGACTAAATAAGATATAATCCACAGGATGAATGGAAATTGCGTATTTCACCATTCCACACAGGTCAAAGGTCACAATCCATCAAATGGGATTTAACGCAGTGTTTATCAACTACTGAAGTACTGTGAAGTGTTTTTCAGTTCAACAGTGTACCTATACTACTGGCATGTGACTCTTTCTCTATAAATCTAGCCTCTGTACATTTTGTGGTGTACCACAAAGGTCTATTCTTGGTCCACCATGTTGGAGTAGGCTTTCATTAAACAGACCAAACAGGTAAATACTTTTTCTTTCAATCTTTGACACCAGAAAATGTCTTTGTACAAGACTCCTGCAGCAAATTCTAAAGATCCTTTGATTATTAAAAGGAAATACCAAGAGATCGAAAACACCAGCACCAGCGTCAGTTTACCACAACGTTATATTTAGTCCCAATAGTGAAGATAAGAATACTGACTGGTGAAAGAATTACAAAATGTATAGCTAATGGAAAGCAAGCCAAGTGACCAGTTTGTGACCTCAGACCGTTTCAAACAAACATTTCAACTTAAGTATCCTTAACTTTAGACAGGAAAACATCACTGAGAAGAACTTTAAAGCTATACTAAATATCTGCCTACACACACACACACGGAGAGAGATAACTGAAGTCACTAATGTCATCAATGTAAAACAAAATGGATTATGGGATCATTGTGTGTTACACTGCTTTAATGATAAAACTACTATTTAGGGGCATTTTGCTTTATAGTGATGACATGCTGCGAAATACTGATCTGTTCTTTGAAAGTCTTCAGATGTAACTAAGTTTTTTACTTTAACTGGGTCACAGTTTTATTTAATTGGATATTAGAAGGCAGCAGAAACTCCAAAACTCATGTACTTAAGTAATGTACAAAGGCCAAATTTAAGGCACACTGAGCATTGTTTGCAATTTAAGATGAACTTTTTAATAATCCGAAATATATAATGAGCTCATAAAATCTCCTTGCTATAGATGAAACCTTATAGTGTATTAATTGAGCACCACCTGCAGTTATGATATTAAAACGCTTCTTACACCGTAATGCATCAATAATTTAACATTTCACTTCTTTACCATGCCTACGTAAGTACATTTTGCCGTTAATACTTACATATATAATACTTATATGACTTATTGAGAATACTCACTTACATAAAAGTGAAATAATACATTAATTCCACCAGCTAAATTCCCTTATGGGAGAAAGACAAAACCACAGGGTGTCCTATCATATGTTCTCAAACTTTTCCCTGCAAGTGCCTTAATCTGATAAGATTTCTCCCTATGAGGAGGAACACAACCTGAGACAATCTTATATACTGCACAATTAGGTTAGTGTCTGTCTTAGCTTTGTGAAGGTAATGACATTTCTGTACAGAGCAGTCTACATGATTAAACTGTACTTTCCCATGCTGAGTCAAATAACACTGAAATTAACTATAAAACACATTTTAGTCTCTTAGGCACATCCTAGTGGACCCCAGAGCCCCACTGCGGGAACCACAGTGAAATATTTGAATATTCTCCTAATCGCAGATAATTGGGTGGCAGTGAACAGACACCCCACCCACCACCCCTTGACCTGCTGTGAAGTCGCCAGATCCACTCCACGTTTTTCCCTGCGCCTTTATTAAGCGCTGTGTGGGTTATAAGGAGAATTAGAGGAAATAACAAGCCACAACAAACAAGAAGGGCGTGCAGAATAACAGGAAAACGTTGGTATGTGCTGACTGAATGAGGGAAAATGTGACGAAAAGCGAGAAATCAGGACGCACTTCTTTACTACTGCTGCTGCGTTCACGGATCATCTGTACCTTCACCGGAGGATGCTGCATCTCTGGAACCGCCGCTATCTGCTCACAATCCGTGCAGTCTGCCCAGTTGCATCTCACTGTGAATATTACAGCGTGTGACGGGGTGGAGGGCGATGTGCGAAGAGGCTTTAGGGGAGCAGAAAGGTTGAGTATCTGCAAAGGATTTTTCTGCGCGCTGTCTCCATCACTGCCGACTTCTATTAGACGCACAGGAGGAGAAAAAAAGAAAAAAGGACAGTCTTGCTATCCCCTCACTGTTAAATTATTTAGGAGTATCTGTTCCTCAAGACCAACATATGCTGGTGTCTTTGTCTAACATCTTCCGTGCATGATCTTACAACACTTGAAGTGGCGGTGGCACGGATGAATGCCGATGGCCAGGCGCCCCAAATTTCCTCAGAAGGGGGATGCAACCTAAAATAACCCCGGTGCCAAATGGTAAGAGAGCAGATTTATGACCAGGAATCAGTGCAATGGCTAACAATTGCAGTAACCTTTCTGTCGGTCTTTGCTGTTTCTCTGTAAGGTTTGCCGATTTTAACCCGGTTGCTGAATTATTCCTGCAGCTTTCCGCACACCGCAAGCCGAGGGAGCCCTGAATCTGTGACACCTATACGGCATCTCCGGAGACTCTCCCCCTCCTGTCCCCCCCAGCACCATTCGGAGCCCGGACGCCGGCGACTTTTTAATGGCTTTTGTGTTCAGAAGATGGAGGGTCTTACTGGTGCTGAATGTGCTTGCTGTTGCTGGGTTCATGACTTTCTGGGCCAAGTGCAACACACGCAGCGTCCAAGCCGCCGGTCCGGAGGCTCCGGCTGACGGGAAGAGGCCCCGGGGCAACGGGACGGCGCAGGGGCCCAGCATCAGCCATGAGGTGCTGCTGAAGAGGCTCAGCTCGCTGGAGGACGTGGTGTACAGGCAGTTAAACGGTAAAGGGCAGTTTAACATATAAACCTGATTTCCCATAAGGAATCTGGAAAAGAAAGAAACTGCTGTCTGACTTTCCCCAGACTTTCTCTTGGGGCCCTGACATAAAACCTCTTACAGCCTATTAACCATAGAGCTCATTTGACATTATCACATTGTTTCAGTCATTTACAAGCATGTTTCATTGCCTGCTGAACATCTAAATCCACTTCACTGACCTGTGCAGAAAATGCCACCAACTATCACATATATTTAATAATCAACCTCTGGTATAAGCTAAACAATAATACATTTTGCTACTGCACAAAAATTAGGTATAAATTGCAAAAAAAGTACTTAAGTTTTAATCATTTTATAGGAAAACGAACACTTCAGCAGGATATTTGCCAGCACAGCGGCTTGAACATCACGTTGAGGGATAGTCACTTTAATCACTCTGCCACCCACAAATACACCCAGTCACACTATGAGGAGTCGTATTGCATCCCTAATTTGAAAGCCTATAAGCTTCATTAGCAGCTTGCAGTCTAGAATTGGAAATGTTTTGGACGTTTATCGTTAAAGAGTTTCATGTAGTGTATTACTGGGACTACTGACCTCAGTGAGAGTATGAAACCTTGGAATAGGCCTATTTTACACATCCCTGTTTTTAAAACGTATCCCTATTAAAGGTATTCTGTGAGAATCTTTCCCAGCACTTGTCATAATGTCCAGTTCAGAATGCATACTATGTGCTCATGCGAGGTTGGAGGTGTGATGGGGAGGCAGGCTATCAACAGTAAGCCACAGAGTGCATTACTGAGAGGAGAGTGACTCTGCCAGACTAAAGGATCCTGACATGTAATCTTGTCATCTTGTTTGCCTCACCCAGGTCTGTCCAAATCTCTGGGTCTGATTGAGGGCTTCGGGGGTCGGGGTAAAGGTGGCCTCCCTGCTACACTGTCGCCAGCCGAGGAGAGTGACGCTAAATACCTGAGGGAGAAGTACGGCTACAACGCCTACCTCAGTGACAGAATCTCTCTGGATCGGACCATACCAGACCACCGGCCCGGCAAGTGAGTACACGCCAAGTGGATAAACTTATAATTTCTCTTTCAAAGTCAGCTCCCAACAGTTACAAAAAGTCATTGCTCATGGACCCATAGTTGTGTCTAACCTGTCTCTGAGATGTCTGCCTTCACCCAGTACAATGGAGATTAATTCTGTTGCTAATATTACCATTGAAACTAACTTCTTCTACCGAAAAAGTAGTTCCAATGAAAACTGTTCTCAGTGATTATCTGTTTGTTATCCAGACAAACTGGGATACTGTTTCTGGAAAGACATGTTTCTGATGAATTATTTAAATGGAGCATAACCATAGTTCAGGCAGAGCACTCAAGTCCCACTTGCATTAGCTGATTGGCATCAGCTGTTTCATTCATGCTTCACAATAACTGGATCGTTCACTATGAGACAATCAGTGGGCTAGTCATGTCCAATCATATTCATGCATGTTTACAACGCAGCCAGCCTGACAATTCTCACTATTATGCTGCTGGTACGCTCATGGCAGCTCCTTCCACCACCCCAAACTACCCCTAGATTTGCCCTTCTGCCATTAACCATTTTGTTGATGATTTTAGCATGCACCATGTATAAAAGTTCAAAACTAGCAGTCTAATTTGCATAAATGAAAATATTGGTACCTTTTTCATGGCATCAGTCACTTTTTGCGGCACACATGTAGTGTTTGTTTGTGGGGCGTTTCACCGGTCCCTTTGAATCTCTCCCTCTCTGCCTCATACTCTCATATTTGATGAAGCTGCACTATCAGGCTGGCTATCGACCACCAGGCATGCATGCATGGGCACACAGGTCCAACAGCGCACACACAGACAGACACACCTGGGATTAGCAGGTATGAAAGGTACACTTCGAATTGTGTGCGTGTATCATCAATAATTGCACAGATTCCTGTCGTGTGCATTAACTGGTGCTCTTCCAGATAGCTCTGTGCAGTATTTTGTATATCTGCATGCATGGTGCAGGTTTTTCTCCATATATTCCCCTTTAAAGGGTCTGTCTCTGGCCCACTTTGCTGGTTAATTGAGTAACAGCCCTTCTATTTGAGTGTCAGTAATGATGAGAAAGCCCTCGGCCCATCGCTGCCACCAGCTGCGCACAAGTTGGGGTGTTGGAGTGGAGGCATCAGAATCCAGCGCTCTCATTTGTCACTCGGGGGGTCTTTTATGTTGCCAGGATCAAAGTGGCGTGTGAAGCATGTTGGGGTGTGATATCTCCAGGCTTAGCAGCAGCATGTAAGCTGAAGTCGGAGGAGTCTGCTATGTTTGGCTGAAGGTCCCTTTACACTGCAGAGCCGGAGGTGGTGTTGAAACGAGAGAAAGATGGAAAAAAAGTCACGTGTAGTATAAAAGAAAAAAGTTTTTTGGGGGATTTATTGTAAATCTGCTCACTATCTTATCAGGAATGTTACATTTATTTGCCCAAGCCTGCTTTCCCCAACATGTTTATAGTGAGTATATAGTAGTAAGAGTTGACTGATACATAGGCATAAACGTTTTTCACAGATATGTTGGTATAAGTATATATATCGGCTGATAAGTAAGTGCAGTGCATAAATGCCAAAAGAAGAGTCATCAGCTGATGAGCTCAGTCTTAACAGTCACAATCACAGTCACATTCAGAATAGTCAATGAAGCTGTACTTGTAATGTGACAACTTCACACTTGTAATCATTCATGCTGCTGTCTTCTATCTGCTACACTGCTGTTAGTGGTTACGCTGATTTGCACCATCCCTGCCTCCTCCTGTTCCTACCTCCTTTTACCATAATTGCTGTGGCATCTCTTGCCTTGTACATTATGTACATATATTCTCTATATCCGTGTGATATGTATCTGCTGGGTTTTTCTCTGCAGAGCCCTTGGCGGTGGGGGAGTGTTAATACTCTCCCCACAGACTGTCCATTGTTTCATTTGGGGAACTTCTTCAAACACAGTGCCTCTTCTGTAGTGTGTCTGAATTAAATTTCTAACACACATCATGTTTGTAATATTTATAATTAAAGATTTTCTCTTGTGAAAAGTTAGGTATCCAAAACATCATGGCTTCCTGTCAAATATCTTAAAAGGGAAAAACAAAAAACACTCAACCGCTAACAACCTTGTTGGCATCTGTTTTCAAGGGTTTCCTGCCAAATAACCTAAACAAAGTGGCATCTACCTCATGCATTTTTATTTTAGGCTGGGTTTATTATAGAATTGTTTGTAATTAACATTTCATTTCACATGGGAAATAAGATTATTGATAAAAGAAAATAAGACAAGAAAAAGGAGACAAGTAAAGGAAGGCGTTTCCTCTCCCACTCTTACAAAGCCAAAGCCTCACCCTGCCTCTTTCCTCTTCATTAGAGCTCTTTGAACAAAACAGCAGTAAAAATAGGCCTCCTGTCTGCTGCAGACACACTGTGAATAGGCCAATTTGGTTGGTTAAACAGGAAGTGGCACGTGATTTGCCTTTCAGCCTCATCGAACAAGATGTCAGCAGCTCCACCGAGGAGCTTGGTCTTTTACAGCAATGATGGAGGATGAGTGGAGCGTGCAAAGCCCCCCCGGAATGTAGGCTTCACAGGAAGGCGTGGAAAGGTTTTATTTTACAGATGGTGTGATGTGTTTGCGTGTCTCTTTGCAGATGCAGAAAGGTCAGCTACCCAAGAGACCTCCCCCAGATCTCCCTCATCTTCATCTTTGTCAACGAGGCTCTGTCGGTGATCCTGCGCTCAGTCCACTCAGCTGTCAATCACACTCCGGCTCACTTGCTTAAAGAAATCATCCTGGTGGACGACAACAGCGATGATGGTTAGTACAAATGGCAGCAACGTCTTTTACCCCTTCTGATTTGAATCTCTTGTATTTTAAGTGAAATACAATATTTGCCTGTAGAGGACAATGAAGAGAGTACAGAACAACAGGAGGATGAAAGGAGGCTCCCAGCAGGACACTTGGTTTGATACATGGCCTGTACTCTCCTGACAATAATGTGGAAAGCAATACATCAAAAGTCTAGTATTCATTCAGTATTCTTGTAAGAATTTGTTTTAATTTTGTGCCATCAGATACTAAAAATTAGGCTTTTTCCTGGAATGTCAGAAAATGAAGATTTCATTACTTTTTACTTTCATTACTGCCAGTATTTTAGCCTAGACATGGAAATTAAATGATATGGCAGCATATATATTTAGTGCCTACAAAAAGTGTAAAGCAACAATTTGCTATTCTACAGGGGGTCCTGTGCCGGACAATTTCTTGGCTCTGAGCAGTTGCCAGGCAACTCGCAGAGACTCCAAGAAGTTATTGGTCCCAGGCAGTATTTAACAGACAGATATGAGTGTGGCATTAATCTAGTCATCTCACTCTCTGCCAGACAGCAAATATTTCCCAACATGGCAAACTATACCTTTAAGGCCTCTTCACAATGACACAAAGTTTTTGCATATGAAGAACAAACTATGGTTACCATTTGTACTGTAGGAAAGGATCTACACATATGGGCTCCTATATTTACGCTATCATTACCACATGTAACATAAACTCTATTCACTTTTAAAGGAATATTTGTATAATTTGCTTAATCTCATCAGTTGCATGCAACGAGTAGGAATATAAACACATTACACACTCCAAACATAACAGAAAGCCTGTGTTCATACTTGTGCATGCATGTTACTCTTGAACATGCTGACACGCTGCTCTCTGACGTGTTGTTATGAGACAAAGGCTTAAACTCCTAATGTGGCTTTGTTGGCGTGTCAAGGAGATGAGCATCTCCTTGACAAAAGCTGTGGTCCTTGCTTTTGAGGAGCAGCATTTGCGGAGGTGACCGATGGTGTCGAGTTTTCCCAGGGCAGACAGGCAGATAGAGGCGGAGCGCCACAATTGGATGTCACGGGAGAGATGTCCCTGTCTTATTTATTGGGCAGGGCTGCCAAGCTGGGCTTTGTGAGATGAACGGAAGGAGAGAGAGACGAGGGGAGGGGAAGGAGATGAAACCAGGCAGAGCAAAAAGGAGAAAGGAGGTTTGGGAAAAATAAAGAGTAAGGGGTGTTAGTGTTGGAGAGAAATTAGGGAAAAAAGGATGAATCTAAAAGAAACAAAAACGTTGAGGAGTGAAGAGGGCTGAAGGATTTGAAAATAGGTATAACTGAAAAGGAGGGAGAATGAAGAAGAGAGGAACGGCGATGAAGAGGCATCAGAGAATGAAAGGAGAGGCTGAAAGAGCAACCAGGCTATTAGAGAAAGTGGCAGAAAGAGGGACAGAGAAGGGATGAGAGACAGAGAGGCTGTAAGATAAATGAGATCGGACAGAGAGGAGAAAGGCAATGGAAATCCGGAAGAGAGGAAGAGGAAGCAATCAGACAGAATGGAAAGCAAAGACAAATAACGAGGAAACAGGAAGAAAGAGATGAGATAGTCGAGGCTTTGAAGGATAAGGCTGGCATTTTTCTATTTCTCTTCAATTCAACAAATCTCATGGAAAGACCAAAACAAAGCCGTCGTCTCAACACATTCTGACTTCCCTACATAAATCTTTAAGTGTCACAAATATATGGTTTCATTAAAAAAGGGTAAATCATTTTCTAAAGAGTTGGCACTGCAGCTCATATCACTCAAGCAGGAAATAGTGAATAGGAAGTAGTGCATTTGTTTTGGACCAGTTATTACGGTTTGGGTCTTGCTTTTGTTGTTTTTGGTATTATTCCTACTGATAAAAATGACATTGTACCCACCAAGTTAATTACTGAGATTTTGCAACCTCACTAATAAGATGTCTAATGGGACAAGAAACAGGAACACCTAGACAGGTTGGAAACAAGTGAGAAAGAGAAAACAAAGATAAACTGTAAACTTATGCAACTGTCGGTTGTAAACATCCATCACAGTTTAGACACTGACTTTCTGGTTCAGCTTTGACCTTCCTTCCTTGCTGTAATTGTGTGCACGCACCTTTCCTGTACAATGAGCGATTAATAACAACATTACAGGTGCACTCACTATAAGTTTTACCTTTTAAATTAAGTAATTCAACCAATCTAGTCTTTATAGCTTGTGTTGTTTTCCCCTTACGGACTCTATTAAAACCTATGGAAACAAGACCATTGTAAGTTGTAATAAACCACAATTTTCCTTTTATACACATTTGGTGGTCTTGTGAGTATTTTTGGCAGCAGGATGAGCCATTGACTTAAAATAAGATACAGTGCCACCTTTCCACCAAAGGAATGGTTTTGGAGAACAATGGAGGTCTCTGGCTCATGGCTCATGGCTCATAAGTAAATAGTTACTTGTTGTAGGATTCATTTATTGTCATCTTGTCATATCGCCACTTTTATTCTCCAAAAAAGTGTTTGAGGAGCTTGATGGAGAAAGGGAAAAAGGAAATAGAGACAGTTCTACCCTGCACCCCCCCTCCACTCCTCCCTCACTGGAAACTGCTGGTTGGCTGAGAGCCAGCTATCCATCACAAAGGGGGAAGAGATTGCAGCGGCGCAGAGGACGAGGCATGCAAACAAATAACACTCACCATTCTCAATGCCTGCACGAGTCACCCGGCTCCCTGGCCTCGGAGTGTACACACCCGAGTGTGTATGAAAGATGTAGTGTGTGTGTGTGTGTGTGTGTGTGTGTGAGGGGGAGAGAGAGAAGACACAGTGTAGAGGCACTCCGTCTGGATGTCAAAATAAGCCACAAACGAGCTGGAGGCACAGTAACTTCAGTCTGACGCGAATGACAGGAGATGCAATCAAGTTTAAAAACATTTACTGAAAAAAGTTTAAAACATTGTGTCCCCCGGTAGAGAAACGATGTGCTCCTGTGCCTGGAACAACTCTCTGCCCGACTACTGCACATAACGTCACTCACTATATTAAGGGGGGCTTCAATATTCAGTATACATTTGGTTTTGTACATGTATACATTATGTGTTTATGCACTGACTAGAAATGATGAACTATGAATTTTGCACGTTATTTAAATTTGCTTATATTGTCTCATTGCGGCTCTTACACACATCATGGGAAAAGAGTTTGTGATAACGAGCGGTTGTGAGGAAGAAATAAATAAAAAGAGGCAGAGAGAAAGAAAACACATAGAGCATGAGAAATGTGTTTTTGTGTAAGGGGAATTTTTAAGTATACGTGTGTTTGTGATGCAGAGGAAGAAGTACTGTGAGTGTTTGGGTCCGGGGGGAAAAGGCTGATAAGTTGATTGAGAGATCAAGGTGGAGCAGTCGACTGGCACTCAGGAAGCCGCAGACTCTGTTTGGTGTTGTGTGGAGTCTGTCGGAGCTCAAAACAGCACTGCAGGGAACCGAGAGAACAGATTTACCATCTCTCTGTTTCTGTGTGAGTGTCATTTGTGTGTCTTTTTTTTTTTTTATAAAAAATGATCATTGTGGTTTGGTTGTTTTTTGTTTGGTTGTTTATGCCTGTGTCGGGCCTGTGTGATGTGGCAGTTTAATCAAAATAGTCGGCGTACATCACAGCAGTGTTCTTTGGCAGTCAGACAGGAGATAATGTGATGGTTATCCTAATAAATGGGAGAAATAATTGATGTGAAGCTATTTGATGTTTGTGCCTGTCTACCTCAGCGTGTACAGGTCGGTGATCAAGGGCAGGCCAGCTTAATAGCTTTAATATTTTAAAGCTGTGCATTACGATTCTATGAACTATCCCTATTTGTACCTGTATGGAAACATCTGGTCTCTGCTAGCTCATTTGATGCAGTTGTTTACTGTGTAGCAATGATGATATGTGTGCAAAGTCTGTTTTTCTAAATAGGAGATTAAGGTTTTCACTGGATTCTTTGCTTGATTTCACATATTTACTAAACCATTGGAGTCTGGATTTAACTGCAATTAATTAATAAAAAGGTTAAAAGTGCCACATTTCTTCTTTAATTAATTAAGAAGAGGACCGCCTTTCTAACCATCACCTGCTTTGTTTGGTGTGTAATCTTCGTCTTACAAACTGCAGAGCAGCTGAAAGGACCGCTGGAGGAGTACGTAAACAAGCGCTACCCTGGCCTGGTGAAGATCGTCAGGAACCAGAAGAGAGAGGGACTGATCCGAGCCAGAATCGAGGGCTGGAAGGTGGCCACCGCTGAGGTGACAGGATTTTTTGACGCCCATGTGGAGTTCACCCCATCTTGGTGAGTAAGTCTGGCATGTGGATCAAACTATTGACACCTACTCTTTCAAATGGATTAGGGGTCAATAGGTGTCTGGAATGAAAACAAATGTTCTGGCACGCCACGTTATGGCTCATTTGTGAATATTGGAACTGAGTATCCAAAGCAAACAGTGCAAGACCCATTGAAATACAAAGCTTGATAAGAGCAATAAGAATAATAGAGTTGTGTATCACTTTTAAAAGAAAGTTACAAAGTGCTTTACAGAATCATTGAGGGAGAAGACAAAGGATAGCAGAGGCAGCATAAAACGAACACACAAAAAGCAATTTCACACCTGAGAAGTTTTAAGATAAGGAGAGAAGAAGAAGGGCAGAGCCTGTAGAATCAGGATTAAAAGATACTGTAGGACATATAGCTCATCAAATAAACAAAATATAAAGCGAGCAATAAAATAAGACATTACTCAAAGGCCTGTTCATAAAAGTACATTTCAAGGAATCATTTAAAAGATGAAACTGATTTGGCCGAGATGTAAACACTTGGCTGCTTGCAACCTTTTTGTAGGTCTCCTCTTCGTTTTCCAGCTCACTGTGTACTTTAGAGTATGTACACAACCCAGTTCACTCAGCATACATAGACACATGCCCTCCAGAGCTGCACTGAGCTGAATCAAATGGAATTTGTTATAAAGTTGGTACAACTTGAGGGACTTTTAACTGACTGAAGTGGGTGAGCGAGTGCAGATTTTAAGAGAAGCTCTGTGCCGCCTGTCTTGAACTTTGCGTCTGTAAAGTGTGTACATGTGTATGTGTTTTTGCTCTTGCCAGGGCCGAGCCAGTTCTAGCCAGAATAAAAGAGGACCACAAGAGGATTATTCTGCCCTCCATCGATAACATCAGGCATGACACGTTCGAGGTGGAACGCTATGAGAACTCAGGCCATGGCTACAACTGGGAGCTGTGGTGCATGTACATCAACCCCCCCAAACAGTGGTGGGATGAGGGGGACATATCCGCTCCCATCAGGCAAGAGCCCTTTACCTATTTAAACACACACTTTTGGAGCCATTACCAAACAATAAAATGCAACAATGGACATAGCCTACATATATGTCTGCTTTAGCAAACATATACAGTATACAGGCTATAGGATGCAGATTCTGCTCTGGATTTGCACATACAAACGCACAAGCTCATCTTTATCGGTTTCTTCATGATTTTCATTAAAAATAACAATATTAAATATGTTTTCTGAAAAGATTTGCACATCCTCACATTATCAAAAGTTCTTGTAGAGACCCCCTTGGGATGAGTGAGGAAAAATAACAAATAAGCTGCTGATGAAGTACCAGACGAGTACAGAGTGTTTGTGCTGCAAATGGGATTTTTATAATCTGATCTTCAACCTGATATTTATGTTAAATTCTAAATAAACAGTGATAAATTACCATGTTATTTAAAATAGAAAATGAAAATACATGCATCCTGCATTCATGATAAATGCATACAAACAAAGTTTCTGATTTACATTAACAAATCCACACACACCACGTGCAGGTGCAAATGCTTAGTGTCACTTCTTTTCATATTGTTGTGCTTTCCCATCTCAGGACTCCCGCCATGATTGGCTGCTCCTTTGTGGCCAACCGGGACTACTTTGGCGAACTCGGCCTGCTCGACTCGGGCATGGATGTCTACGGAGGGGAGAACATCGAACTGGGCATCAGGGTTTGTGTGTCACCCAGTTTCCTCCTGTTCCTGCTCCCTCTTTACCCCTGTAGGTTTAAGTGGAGCAGTGGCCACCGTAGCATGGCAGCACTGATAAATGAGGCCCCATTAAGAGTCCTGGAGGACCAGTCCTGTGTGTGCAGCTCACAGCAGGGCAATGGAGATAAATAGGTCACGTAGAGCGAGAAGGTTGGGGAGTTCTGTATATCTTGAGAGAATGGAGAGTTAGTTGTTGTTCTGTATGCCCATTGTATTTTTTTTTTTCTAAAAGGCAAAAGAAAGAAAATCAAATATTGCTCTAATCTCTCTCAGTGTCGATATTTGTATGACTAAATTCAAGTGTAAGACTTTCAACCTGATTGGATCAATTATTTGATATTAACATAATTAAATTAAATTACTAATAGTAATGTGTAATGCTTGTAGTTCCCTAATCATAAAATGAATACCCAGCTCATTGTTTTTTTTTTATGGTACATTTACCGTGTGGTTCAGTCTCGCCACAGATCAACTACTATAGGCTTCTTTCCAGCAAAAAGCTCCCACTGTATGCTACCTGCCATACACCAGTGCAACTAACTGGTGAAGGAGGTGGAACATCTAAAGCCAGACAGGACCTGGCGGAGCCCAAATCAGAGTTTAAAGTGAAAAATGACTCTAAACTGCTAATGTTGCTCCCTGTTTGCTGTTAGCCATTATCAACTTTATAAGATGGGAGGCTTTGTGGTGGTATTTTCTGCCTTCTACTGGACCAGAAATATAACTGTTTAAGTTAATCCCCCTGTTTTTTAACACCATCTACCTGCAGGTGTGGCTCTGTGGAGGCAGTATGGAGGTGCTGCCTTGTTCCAGGGTGGCTCACATCGCACGGATGAAGAAACCCTACCACAGTAACATAGCTTTCCACACACGGCGTAATGCTCTACGCGTGGCTGAGGTCTGGATGGATGAGTACAAGTCCAATGTCTACCTGGCCTGGAACATCCCTGTGGAGGTAAGAGAGGGCTGTTTCTGTGGCGACAACTTCTGCAGCTCAGGCATTATTTATAAAATGGACTTACGATCAATTTTAAGTATGACTTGCAGGAGCAAATACCTTAAACCCCTAGCCGGAGCCTATAGGTGGGTGCTGGGGTGGTGGTGGGGCTTACAGCGCAGCAGGCAGCAATAGCTTACAGAGCAGCAGGCAGCAATACAGATGCAGGGCAGGGTGTGCTCCATTTATTTATAAAACCTTACTTTGACGTGAAAATGATCTTATCTCAAACCCTAGACTTGACTTAAGTGGTTTTCCTGCTGGTTATGAAGGGGTATTGCAGTTTGGGACACTAAGCCTGTGGTGAACTTTGCATTAGATTAATGAACAATGCAATAGAAATGATCAGTTAAAGGAGTGAGGAATGAATTGCCAGATGCAAGGTGGAAATAAAAACAGGTTGCAATGTTCTATAGTGTGTCAAATTAGAAAGATGCTAGCATTACATAAGGGAACATATCTGATTGAAAGGCAGGTGCTATCAATTTTAAGTTAAACTGAGATTTATAGATCATAGGTGCGTAAGCTTCTTGGACTCTGTGTAAGCAAAGTTTTTTATGCTCACTATGTTTTATGCCAATGCAAAACCATGGTGGTTGGTCATGCCGACTACTTTGTTTTATTGCACATGAACTTTTGATGCTGTCGCTGACCCTTCCCTGCATGGCAGATCATTTTCCAGTCGTTTTTGACAACAAAATATCAATCTTTTAGAAACTGGGAATCAGTTGAATCATTATTGTGCTAGTAATCAATAGACATTTGTGGTAAAATGGTAAAATGTTCTGGATTGCCATTTTAACTATTCATGTGGAAAAAGCTCTGTAAAGCAAAGACTTCCCATAATGACTCCTTGTGCTCTTGTAGAACCACGGTATTGATTACGGAGACATCTCTCAGAGGGTTGCACTGCGGAAGAGTCTGCAGTGTAAAAGCTTTGAGTGGTACCTGGACAACGTTTACCCAGAGATGAGGAGGTACAACAACACGCTGTTCTACGGCGAGGTGAGTCAGCAGTCAAAATGACATTAAGGAGAAAGAGACTGACAAGATAAGCTTGTACATCAAGTTTCGTGCATTTGCACAAATGGATGAAAGCACTGAGAACAGATGAGTGAGAGATTGGTAGGAAAAATATATCCTGAGGGCTTTATAAAAAAATATCTTAACCCCGAACAAAAAGACAGCTAGAAAGCACTCAGAGAGAATATATATATCATGTTTTATCTGCACTTGGATCTAATATACCTAAACAGTGTTTGGGGATATTAGGACTTGGTACAAAGAATTGTGCCTAGTGATTTTCAGTGTAATTTTCGAAGGTGCTTTTTGATTTCAGATTCGGAATTCTAAAGTGAGCCACCTGTGTATGGATCAGGGTATGAAGGAGAACCACACAGCCACCCTGCACCCCTGCCATGGATGGGGTCCTCAGGTACAGCATGGACACTGGACGCTGAACAAAATTGCCACAGAATGCATCTCTGACCACTATCTTTGCTTGTCTTTTGAAACACACACAAATCATTAGAGTCTTTCACCAGTGATGTGATTTACAGCTGTGTTTCTCGCTCAGACTCAGCTGAAATCCTCTTAGGAGAGAGTTCTGCTGTCAGGATAAAAATGTTTCTGTGTTGCACTTTTTTGTGTGTTGAAGTCCTGAGTCAGCCAGTGTCAGTTCCCCAGCCCTTCAGCCCGTGGGGCATCTCTTTTTAGCTCGCAGTGGTAAACAGGTGCTTCGGCGAACACAGGTCATGGCTCCAGTAGTAAAAGGCTAAAAGCTAGCAGAGCTAAAAATAACTTACTCACAATCAATAACTCACTTCAGTTGCATTTTTTTAAGTTATCCATCCGAGGAAACAAACAAGCTTAAATTTTTATTAGTGCAGCAATTTGTCACCCGCACTTTATGCAGGCAACTGTGGCCCAATGTGTCTTAAGAAGCAGCAGTGACCTCTAGGGACCACACGCAGGATTTTTAGGATATTAAGCCTAAAATATACCTACAACACCTGGCTCATGTACTGCAAATACATGACATAGTTCTACGTCCTCTGCATGTGTTTTAGCATTGACATTTAACTTCACCTTCTGCTGGTAACTTTTTACTGTAAAGTCCTGCACTACAATGTGAGAAACTGCAACTCACACTTTGTTTTTAGAATTTCAGAACACATATGCAATCAGTCCTTAAACACCATATTAGATTTGCTTAGTGAGCTATGGAGCTGAATGTTCACTGCTGACAAAATATTTTTTGTTGAAATAAAGCGCTCAGTGCTCAGTTAGTGGACCAAAGGCTACCGAGCACAAGGTGCAGAATCTAACTCTTTACAAGCAGGTTTTGTCATGTTGCTCTTGGGTTTTCACTTACTGTTAAGTTTCTCACTAGTTTCCATCCCAGACAATGTTTTGTTTTGAATTTGATTATTAATGTTTGGGATCTAAGTGGGTTTGCAGATTGTTGAGGCAGCACTGTAAATTTAGACTGATAAAATGGATGCGGTTTTACAGAATAGTCTTACAAACAAGCTACAGTGCTACAATGTAACACTTTGTACAAAGTACAAAGACATATCAAGCCTCCCGGCACTATTTGGAACAACACGTTCCTTATGTTCAAAGCAAGCAAAAAAGCAGCCTGCAGAATGAAGGAAAGCTTCTTCCAGATTCACAAACTTTAGAACTCTGAAGACAAATTGCCTCCAACTTGCACATCATCACATCATAATTTTTATTTCATGGGCTGAGCCAGTGGAGACATGATATTGAGTTCACAAAATTCACTCAGGTAGTTGTTAAGTTCAGTGTTATTACAAAGCTCAGGGCATAACTGCAGGTTAGTTTCTGCATTTTTAGTTACATTAGTTCACCAAAGCTTCCACGAACTCACATTAGCTTTGTTATATTTCTTTAAATTTATTTTGGGCAGGTACCTGGTGGGAAACTTAACAGTAGGCACAATGTTCCATGTTTGTGATCCCCTTCGGATTGTTGTATGTGTGCTGTTTCTATGTTTTCCCTCAGTTGGGACGTTACACCAAAGAGGGCCAGCTGTTCCTGGGCCCCCTGGGCAGCACTGGAGAGGACACTCGCTGTGTGGTGGATGATCAGATCAACAGTTTTCCTCAGCTCCTGAACTGTGACAAGGTGACCAATGTGAAGCAGAAGACATGGCATTTCTCTCAGGTGAGAAGTAGAAAGAAAACTGTTTTGTGTAATGAAACAATTGATGCGTCTTTTTTATAAAAGCAGAATTTCATTGTTTTGTGTTGCCAAATAATATAAATAATGTAATGTTAGAGGGATGAAAGATTAAACCCAGTGAACATTTTTCAGTTGAAGATCTGTTCAAAATGTCTATGGTCCCCAGTGAAAAGACATACTGCACTGGTTCATAAGTGAAAGCTTTTACACAGACCATTTGAAGACAATTGAATGCTCACATTCAGACCATATTTCACCAGGATTTGCAATTATGAAAGTTTTCATCCTCTACTATGTGCAAATAATAGCCTATCATCACCTTGGAGCCTGAAACTGCATCCAAGTTTCTCAGTTGAAAGCCAGTTTAAATATAAACCTCACCTCACACAGGGCTCGAAGCACTCATCCACCACATCTTGCTGCCAATCTAAGGACTTTGTCACTTCTTATACAATGTTACCTGACATCCTAAGGCCTTTTTGCCAAGAAGCTGAAATTACGTCTTTGTATGGACCACATTTCGCCTACCAGTACAAAATGACTTCATTAACGTGTCCCTGTCAACCTACAACTGAACAAATTAACAAAATGACTGAACAAATGTGACGTGTGCAAAAAAAGTCTTTACTGTTCAGACCAAGTATCACCTATTTTTAAAATTGAAATCAACTATGAAGTCCTGGTTGGTGCTCACTGAAAACCTTTACTTTGTGAGTCAAGTCAATTTATAAGATTTCCTCCAAAATGTACTAATTTATTTCTGCTTAAAAGATCTTCAGTATGTGGCAGTTCTAAACATTAGTTGTGAGGTGTGAGTATTATGTAGCTCGAATGGGGGATTTTTTGTGTGTGGACATTTTCACAATTAAAACACTATAATTAATACCTGAGAAGATTAAATGAGAAACATCTGTCCATATCAGGCCCAGCTCTTGTCACATCCTGTCACAGTCACATGTGGTTCGCAGGCCATCTGTTAATCCTGATAAAACCAGAACGTTGTTTCTCCTCTTGCTATACAGAATGAATCGATCATAAATCGAGCCACAGGACGCTGTCTGGAAGTGGTGCCGGCTAACGTTTACTTCGGCCACCTGCTGGTCCTGCAGCCCTGCTCCGGGCAGAGGTGGGCCATCAAGAACATCATGAAGCAGTAGTCGGCAGGCCAATTTCATCGGGACCAATGACACCAGAGGCCATTTCCAAGAGGTGTCAGCTGACCTCAGCTTGGCCGAGGGACAACTGATGAGGCAGAGGCTCCTCGTCTTCTCAAGAAAAAAACTGAGATGGTTTGCTGTGAACATCTCAGCGACAGAGGTGATGTTTTTTTTATGAACTGGACATTTACAATGATGCAAGTTTAGCATGAGGACTGTTTCTCTCTCCATCTGAATTTGACACACTTTCAATGTGACGTTGCCATAATTCTTGTATGTGCCACTTCTCTACTGTGTAACAGAGATTTGATTAGCCAAAACTGTGTTCTGTCTTATGATCGAAAAAATAAGGTTTCTATCTTCATCCTCAAAACGTCTCTGCATTCTTTCATTCTGTATCATGTTATGTCTTTTAAGATGAGTAAAAGAATAAAATACCTGGAATTAAATTTTCAGTAACATGCACTGATCCAAATACACTGGTAGTTTGTAATAGACTTCATCCGTGGTTTCGACATTTTAGCTTAAGATACCTGAAGGAGTGCCTACTTAATGACAGGCATACATTTAACAGTTAATTAAACATCAATGCCCAAAACTGATTTTCATTTTCTTCTTACAGAAGCCTGTAAATATTTATAATTTGAAGAACAAGGCATTAACAATAAATATTACTTGGTGTATTGGAGCCTATGTTTTTTTGCAGTTATTGTAAATCATCTTAAAAATCAAGTTGTCGAGGGCTACTGGACTAAATCATGGTTTTATATGTCGTGGACGCATTTGTCTTTTTTATTCTTATTTTTACTCAAAGCATTCGGTAGCACCAAATGCAGTACATCTTGTAGCATGATTGTAAGTACTGTATGCACATGGGGACAAAGTTTAGTTGAGCGGAGCCAATTTATTCTGTTACCTGCCGAGTGCCATAACTACAGCGGATGGCCAAAAACGAGCTGTAGCCTAAAGCACTTTTGTGGACACAGAGGTAGAACTGCAGACTCTGAGAGGAAGAGTGAGTCAGTAATGGAAAAGTGCACAAGTGTATCGATTGTGGAAATGCTGGAGGCCTTTAAGGCTGATATTGTTCATGTATTGAGATGTATATGATGTCATATATTCAATTAATTCAATGTTATCAGTTGGATTTTTGCTCCCAAGATTGTCTTCCAATAAACAACTGGTTTCCTGGTTTTTGCATGGTTGCTGTTTCTGAGGGAAGAGTTACGGTTTATGAATTCTTATGAACTGTGTACAGTATTGATTTTGTTGTTTTATGTAATTTGTATTTTGAGCTTTATGAGCTTTATTTATTAGTTGCACTCAATCAGATCAAATTTTCTTCTTTTTAATAGAAACAAACATATCCCTATGTTATTAACTTCCTATACCAACATTAATATTTTCAGTTGATAAAGTATTTCATTTCTGCCTCTCTGGACTTCAAATAAGCTTGAGACTCTGCACAGTAAGAGCCACCATGCTGTGCCACTTTCTATTTAACTGCTCCATCCATTTGCATGGTTTTGGTCAAAATGTTTTCTCATACTGTAAGATTTTCCTTTTAAATAATCTCCAAAAATAGACTACGTCAAACAAGATTTCACCCTCAGCTCCCAGCTGCATGGCATCTGGTGCAACTGTGAACGCCAACTTGGCTTATGAATAGTTTAATCACATATCCTTTATAAAAGTGCTCCACCAAAATATTACACGACATCGTCTGAGGCAGCCAGATGGCCTGACAGGGACTGTCCTATAAATGGGAACTTATGGGTTCAATCCTGTAGCTACTGTGTGTCCTGTGAAAAGTGTCCTTGAACCAGACGCTGAACACCTACTGCTTACTCTCACTAAGCTGCTCTGGATGAAGCATCAGCTAAATGCTTAAGATGTAAATGAAACAGGAGGAGCCTGCTGGGAGCACAAGGGCCTTTTTCTAGGAGAGAGCTGGAGAGGGTGGTGTGGCTCTGGAGGACAGAGCCTGCATGCTAACACAACACTGAATGCTGATCAGACTCTTTAACGACAGGCATCTCCTCCTGGTATTAAATAGGATAAATATATGCTGGTTAAAATCCTATTAAATGTCAGTCAACAGTTACTGTAAATATCACCAAATCTGATTAAATGAACTTAACAGACTCTTGCTATGTTATTCAGGTACTGTATAAGATGGATGCTAGAGGGACAGAAAATTGCTTTGTAGACTGGAAATAAGGATCATTTTAGATAATGACATTCTAGTCAATTCGATTTATTGGAATAACTTCTTAACCTTATTTTGGAGGCAGAATCTCAATTTGTTTATATTAATGTGTTATTGTTTGTGAGTGAAATCATTTAACATAATCAGTTATAGTTTCCATATTGACACAATTGTCCTCACAGTGTTCATTATCTCCCTGTGAGCAGGTAACAGAAGCTGGTTTAATCATAGGACAGAGAATCAGTGATATCAAAAATGATCACGTCATGCAGTCTGTGCCACATGAGATTGTGTTTAGTTACCCGACTGCAGGTCTGTGTCCCTGCAGACCTGTCACTTCTGCCTGCTCTCTGCTGGATGATGAGTTGCAATTATCTGTGTAAAATGGCAACACAGACATCATTATCAGACAGAAATGGATACTTAACAGTTACAGCACCACTTATGCTGTAATACAAACAAAATAAATGTGAAGTTTTGGACTGCCAGGACCAGATATAAGATTATAAAATAAATGTAATACCCAATTTGGTTTCAAAATGAGATGTCTACCTTTTGAAAAAGATGAACGAGTGAACAGGGACAAACTCAAACATAAAATTGGGTTACAAAATGAGAATAATTGTATCTACTCTTCTGTATGTGGTGGTTATGGTTTGTTGATAACATATGGCAGCTTTAGAAGTATATTGTATCAGTGTATTTTACAGCCCTCAGCTTCACCATGTCAGTGTCTAATGCTACCCTCTTGTGGTCTTAGTGTGGTCACAAATAGAACAAATAGATAATACACCCAGTGGCCACTTTATGGCTAATCTTATACAATCCAATACAACAGCCTTACCTTAAAATCTACATGTACGCAGCTGATAATGTTTCAGTGTTTGGTGACATTGTCAGAAATTTGTTAAATATTATATGTTTATTACTGAGTTAATATTATTTTGAGGTACTGGACTATGTTACTCTGAGATGTGTGTCTAATAGTCTGCTCCCCCTCATGCATGTTAATGGAAAGGACACCATCTTAGAAATATCTCAATGTAATGTAGTCTTTTACTATGACCTCAATTATAAACATACAGTATATACACATTTCTGACCTGACTATGTCACCAAAAACTGACTCTGTTAGTTTTGTTTGCCTTGTCCCATCATCCCTTGATCCCATTAAATTGTTTAGGTTTCTATTTGTTCCATTTACTGCATTGGGGTGTAAAACAATACAGGAAAACACTAAGGGAGAACTCCTGTACTTTTAAACCATGAAAGCTCTTATAAAAGTTGACATTTACTTGGAATAAGTAACTTTGCATGTCAGTCACTTGCATTTATGACAAATAGGTTGATTTAAAGTATATTTAAGGAGTGCGTTCTTGAAGGTCACAATGTAAGACAACAATGAGCAGATAGCTGAGCAGTTTAAGGGTCAGTTATTTTATGTTAGTTAGAGACTGTCCTGCAAACAATATGTTTGATCCCTGTCGCTAACTGATAACTACCTTGATGAAGTCCAGTGTAAAATAAAACATAAAGCACCATTTAAAAAACACAGTTTTATTGCCTCAGTGCTTAATCCTTTGACTTTTGTACAGATTTCTGTATTTACAATTACATAATTATTATGCCTCTAATAAATAGTACAACTGAAAGTCTTCCTCTAGTCTACATGTTTAAATATTGCACATGCAAAGTATGTATAGTGTGTGCTTGTCTAATAGATATGCTTCCTTATTAGCTATGTACAAAGTTACATAACAAAAACATGTGGGATCCAACCACCATGCTACTGTAGAGACACTGTGCGGTTTCCCTCCGAAATAAAACTCTACTTCAACGATTGACACATGCAACCATTCTGCAGGGGCAGTTTGATTACAGCAAAACTGTAACCATAGTAACTGTAACTCACATTCCCCAAAAAAACATAAACCAAATTAAAATAAAATTTAAAAGAAAAAGTTCTTCTCAAAGAACAAATAAATGTTAAACACTTTTCCAGTTAACCACTACATGGCAGCAGTGTCTAGCTGTGAATTTGGTGGGAAATTTCCACCAATACTGCAAGATTGACAGATAAAAAACAAAAAGAACAAAAAATGTAATCAGTGTGACATTTTCAGATTAAAAAAAAGAAAACCAGTGTGATTTAAAAGGTTTGTAGACTGTTTTTGCACAAAGTACTCTTTATTCAGTCTGCAAAATGTAAGATTGGTAAATCATCTGCGAATAAACCTTTTACACGTTCAAAAGGACTTTTTCTGCCATAGGCAAGAAATCTATTCCTATAAATACACTGTTTAAATATGTGTTCACATACAAGTGCTGCTCTACCTGCAGTGTTATTAGATCAAAGTCAATCTATACATTATACATAAAAATCCTCATATTTTAACATTTAAGATCAACAAGTCATTGTGAATACGATGCCTGGTATCACATTCCCATAATGCTTAGAGAGAAATACACAAATACTGTGATGGGAGAACAGCATAGACAATATGATCTTACTTCACCTCTAGATGGCACTCTTGCACATGCCTACAGCCCTCCTTGTCATTTTATTGGAATGGATGACAGGTACAGTGCAAAAACAATAACGAGAACAAACCAAATCCTATACAATAGACATATTTCTGCCATTTGATCTTTTGTTTTCATGTTGGAACAGGGAGAAAACGTCTATATTGTGTTGTCTGGTTCACCTCTGCGGAGTTCTATGGCTTTGGCAAGAGGGTTGAGAGGAAGCAGAAAGGGCCTTCACCGCCTGCGTCTGACATGTTTGTGATGAAGCAGCCGCCTCTCTATCTGCTGATCCCCCTCCCTGCACCTCTGTACCCGAGTGAGCAGAGAGCACCGACAGTCATGCACATACAGAGAAACACCTTCAACAGACACTTGAGACACTTCGGACGTTGGGTTACGGTATTTACAGAAGACACTGACTTGATCGCATGCACTTGATAATATGGATGTTTCTGACTGGGTTTACATGTTGAGATGGGAGTCAGTGCAGGAGTTCAGAGCCGACTTCAGCAGGAATCAACATGACAAGATGTGTCTTTGAATGATCTAGTGCTGTGAGAATGTTTTTACAGAAGAATTCTTTAACATTATTTAAGATTATTTCTTTATCTGTGGTCTGCACAGTCATTTCTATCACACAACAGGAAAAGCTTTAGGTTGCAGGATGGATTCAAATTCAGAAAACGTGCTAAACTGTGATTATCGCACATTAATCGGTTAAGATTCTTTTTTAGGATTAAAAAGACTGAAATTAGATAGATAGATAGATAG